TTGACAGGAAAGAAAGGCTGACAGAGCTCTGCCTCTGACATTAAAGTGAAAAATGACACACCAGTGACAGCACAACCAGGGGCAACATTTCTTATAAAAACTCTTGAGTGTCTCAAAATATCTGTAAACATTAGATCATTTTCTTCCCACCTTTTTGAGTTCTCCAGATGATATTAAAGTGTGGGAAAGAGCAACTATGTCATAAACGCCTTTCACCCTTTAGCATCTGCATATCCACACATACATTAAATATAGCACATAAAACTCGACATTAAACATACAGCAGAAAACTATTTGCTCATTTAAAATAACTTAATCTAAAATAAACCAGTAATGCACCAAAAAAGAAAAAAAACACACACATGCAACAGCGGGGTTTTCTCTTCATATTCACAACCAGGACGCATAAACTTGCGAGCTTTTGTGAATCGGCTGTCATTTAAAAAGCCCTAAATAAGAACCAAAGGGCTGTTTGGCCACACGACCTGCTTGGCATCAAGTGCAAAGTACAGCAAGACCACACACAGGGTAACGTTTGGCAGCAGTGCATGTTTGAAATGCACTATGGGCAGATAAAAATCACCGTGTGATAGCAAATACGGGTACCCGCGGACTAATGGAGGGAGGGATTGTTCACTCGAAACAGCGGTCAGAAATGAAACCGATATTCCCGAGGCACAGAGGTGGAGACCACTGGGAAAAACAAGAGACTTTTGCATTGGGTCACAAGCTCATTTGTCCTTTTTTTTCAGTAATGAGCTGCAGACCACAAACAAGGCTGAATTTTGACCCGACCCGGAGGGGTCCATTAAAGATGTGACGTGACGAGGCCATAAAAGTCACATATAAACAGTTTTTAATACTGAGGAATTAGCCGTGTAAATATGTTGAAGGCATCACACCGATAAAGGGCGAAACTTTGGTTGGCAGTGTTGTTACTGGATCTTTTTTTTTTTCATTTTAAAGACAGGAAGTGACGATGAAGTGTCAAGGTCTGCCCACCCCGTCGCTCATGTGGACAGAGAGTCTGACCTCACAGGTCAAATGTCAAAGGTCGTTGCTCATATATCATCTTCGACCTACTTTGACCTTAAAGGCTGTGAGTGATCGCGGCTTGGGTTTTGTACTTCCTGGGTCAGAGCCTCTCCCTCCATGTGCTGGGCTGTAGCGTGGGAGTCCGGATGAACGATCAAATGTGCAGCTGGATCTGGTACGTTTTGGCATCGTTGAGGGGGTGTGGCATCTCCATGCTGAGGTCACGAGAGGCAGTGTCCTCGTCCAATCAGAAGCCAGAGCAACGGCAGCTGCAGAATGACCATGGACATGATTGATGGACTCAGACCCGACGCTCCACCGCAATCCTCGTTCTGTTCCTGTTGCCATGCCAACAAGAGAAAGCCAATAAGTCTGCTGGGGAACTAAGTACCGTAGTGTGGGAATTACCGTAATAATGTGAAGTAAAACTTTATGCCTTTGCAAACTTGTAATAAAAGCACAAAATTAGGATTCCAGAGGAAAAAAATCCCATTGATTTTCTCCATAGACAATAGCCAATAAAAGTTGATTGCAAAATATTAAATACATAGAAATATGTATTGGCTATTATTATCAATGACCATAATTTATTTTGTTTCTGTTTCCATAATTACCTTATGCATATTCTTTACATAATGTTTTAAATATAGAGATTATATATGTATTATATTTGATTGTGATATTAATCGACTGACTGAAAAAATATTTTGAAAAATATTAAAACATATACATATCTCATACGGTCTCAATATTATAATCAATGACTACAAAGTTTTTATTTACTACATGGTTTTTTTTCCATAATTTCCTTTTGCATAATTAAACTCATAGTTTTAAACACACACACACATATAGCAGCAGAAAAATTATATTTAGCATACTATATATGATTAATTACAGTAATTGTGATATTATGTGAACACATCATAAAACATTTATCCCACTACAATCAATCTAAAAGCTTTATTTTTATTTATTTAAAAAAAAAAAGTAAATTAATGATTAAATATACTGTGATATGCTGTTGATAATTGATTAATTGCAGTTGGTGAATTAGTCAAGCGTAAGAGTTACATCAGCAGTTTAAGAAGCTGTAAGAAGCAACAGCTAAGCTCATTAGTTTGACTCATGCAAAATTAAATGCATGAGAGAAAGACATTAATCTGAATTATACAGAAACAAATAATAATAATAAAAAAAAAAAATAGAAAAATGAGAATGGAACATGTAGACATAAAGGACAGAAATGTGCCTGTTGATAGCCTTGTGTACTTGCACAAACTGCCAGTGCTGTTTTAGCAGTTGATTCACTAAAGGAATTCAGGTAATGAAAGAAATTTCCATTGAAAGGTGTGCTTGAAAAGAAAAAAAGACAATTGAAATGGCCAAAGTGCAGAGCTAAATCATTGCAGATAGCGGCTGTTTAAGCAAATTTGCGGAGACCTGAATACGACGAAATACAACAAACAAAAGTGACAAGTGTTTAGTGAATTTACTTCTAATTTGGCAGACAAGACAGATAGATCGATATAAATAAGTAAACCAATAAATAAATAAAATAAATAGAGAGAGAGGGAGATAGAGAGATGGACTGACCCGAGACAGCACATGAACACTGGCAGCAATAACATGAGCAGAGAGGAGAGCAGTGGAGAGCCTGCATTTCTCCTACACATGGCCTCATCCTAACATACGTTACCCAGCCAAATACACAGCACGAGAGAAAGAGAGAAAGAGTCATGCAGAAAAATGTTTGACAGTCAGAAGTTTAAGCAACACATGAACAAGTGCTTGAGCCAAAAAGCATTAATACTAAGTAAAAAGACAGAATTCAGAGCAGGAAAAGTAGGTGTGTTTAGATAAAGATACACTTAAAAAATAAATCACGTTCACAAAATTTCAGCAACATTTTTTAGACAGAAAAAAAAATCTATTGTCGCAGCTCAAACAGTCACTTTCAAATCAAGCAGCCTTCTATTGGCCAACGTGATGAACTTGTGAAATCCCTGTTGTGAAATCTGTGTGGGGAATTGTTTTTCCCATCATGTAAAATGTCCATTCCTACCGAAATCCTCCCACAAAACTTTGCCGACATCTCCAAATGAACATCCAAAGGATTTGATCAGATTTAGTGTACATCTGGGGACAATTTAATGCATTTTAAAAAGCAACAGGCACAAACTGTGAAGATTCACCACTGAAAAATAAAGTATACAAAAGCTATTTTTGTTGTCAATTAACATCATTTAAACCCACAATGAAATGTTTGTTTATTCGCCATTTGGTCTGCAGGTGTACTGAGATGAGCTACAAACAGTATAAAGAATTAAGCTCTGAATACACATCTGCTCCTGAAGAGTGAGTCGTCCACTATTACCAAGTTTGCTGGAAAACAAAGTGTGCCTTCTTTTTTGGTTAAGAAAAGGTGTAAAACAAAACAAAACAAAACAACTGTGTTCATATTTTCCACACTGATTCTTGGGGAAAATGTGCATAATTCTGTGGAATCCATTTAAAAATGCTTAAATGTGTTAAAACAGAAATGTACAGAATTAAATGGTGAATAATTATGCACAGCTTTCTGCTGAATTCTGTAACTTGCTGTAATTTTCACAACATTGGCCGAGTTTCATAGCAGGCATGTGTCACTCTGGGTAAAAG